TTTCAAAATGAAAAATTCGATCGTCCCTCCAGAGTCTTATAAACTACAAATGATACAGCAGTTCTGTTTCCGGATTAGCGTTAAGAAGAACAAACCTGTACAAATATCTTACAGAAAATCAACGCGCGTTACACAGTGATAACGCCGATTACATCGATCCGAAGATCAACAAGCAGTTTTCCGTTGCGCAAAAGATTCGATCGAGACCTCTCTGGAAAAAGTTGATTACGCAGTTACATCCTCCGCGCGTCCCCTCACGGTCGTTGAATAGATGGCATAGGACGCAGGAAACGATTGCGGTAACCGCTTCGTTGCGTACGCCCCGCGGTGACGTAAATATTCGCCGGGACCCAGATTTTTACCTAGCGTTGCGCCGCGGATGCACGCATTTGGAGCGGAGCGAATTCGGCGGTGTCCCTGGTCTTCAAAGTCTCTCAACCCGTTATCTCGACCTTTTTCCAAGCTTCATTTTTTTTTCTTATTTATCCTTGCCCTCGCTTTTCAATTAATTTTCGAGAATCCGCGCTGTGTCGCTCCGCGGCGGGTCGGAGGCGAGCCTCGGATTTCCATCATTAGCGTGTCGGGTCAGCCAGTCATACCGATCCTAATGAGTTTATCTGCATTAATGCCGGGCGTGTTTGCGGGTCATCGGCTGGCCTAATTTCGATCCGGATCGAATCCCAGAATTATTGAACCGAAAAGACGGGGCAACCGTGAATCGCGATCTGGATGAACGATCTGTCGGGTAAAGTGGATTTGATCGTGCTCCGGGACACAGGGTGGCACGCCGTGGGTGGCACCGTCAAGGAACAGGTGAATTTAAGTTGGAAAAGTGCGAAGCGAAGATTGGCCTGTTTTCGAAGTCGATATTGGGAATTTCCTATGCGGCGTGATGCTTGCTGGTACTCAAAGAAAAGTGGTAACAAGTATTAGATATCATTTGTAAATAACTTGTGAAGCAATTTTCACTCTTTGAAATTTCTAGGCGAAACATAAATATGTATATTAACTAGAAAACTAATGAGAAAATGAAGACAACTGTACCAAAAATTTGAAGCATGAAGTATTTGATATGTTTTGAAAGTATGGAGTATATAATTTCAAAATATTTCTTCAGAATTCAATACGTGAACGATATTTAAGGATTGACAAAGCGCAGGAAATTTAAAAATATTTGCGGTGTAAACATAGTTAAGCTATAGGACATGGTCAGTAATAAATTGTCCCATTCGTGGGTCATACGAACGCGTTACAACAATGCGCGGCGTCAAGGCACGCGAGATATTTTCAGTGACGTCAACATCGTCTCGAGAAATATTCTCGCGAGATATTCGAAGCTTTGCTATTGCTTCCTGTCTCCGGCAAAGAAAAATCAGCTCAGAGGGGTTGATTTATCGAGGCGAGCGTGCGAAAAGTTGCAACGTTCTGTTCGACTGGCTCCACGAATCGCGGTCGACCGCGAGGGAAAGAAAAGCAGTTCACATTCGCATTTTCATTTGCGAATCCCTGCGAGCTATTTTCAGAAGGACTACCGATATCAGGTTGGTCTCGTCTGGAATTGTTACAGAAACCTGTGTACAAAATCGAACCGGCTAGATTAATTAGCAGGGCCGAAGAGTTTGCAACATTGATTTCCCATGCGGCACTAGAAGAAAAATGGAGGAAGAGATCGGCTACGAAGAGAATGCAAATCCGAGACGTTGCGTCCTTGGAATATAAATGAGTCCACTTTTCTCTCTTCCTCCCTTAAAAGTCTCCTTGTATCTGCATGATTTTAATTCCTAGAAAATTGGAGGACAATATCAGCGACAGTAACAAACCATTGAAAAATGGATCGCGAATTTCTACACAATTTTACATAAAGATTTCCTCAAATTACCCCTGTACAACAATTTAGCACTTGCCTGAAAGAACATTTACGACCTCTGAACTAAAACAAAAACCCCATCAAACTATATTACATTTTATACTATTCCCAACCATCAAGACTACAATAAACACATCCAATCTGCAATCTAGGTTGCCATTTGATTCACGCATTCCCCGCTGTACTGTCACACGGGAGCACCTGGTATACACGTGGTCCACATCTCCGTTATTTCCGTCGAAACGAGAACGAGAGTGCGGAACAGTGAAAAGTGTGACGCCGCGGCCGGGTGAAAAACTGGTCGCCGAGGCCGGGCGGAGTTATAATTTCGCAGCGAGGTTCTAAAAGGGAAAAGCAGGGACCGGTCGTTCGTTCCGACCGTTCACGACGGAAAGAGAGAAAGAGGAACTTTGAAGATCGGAGAAAGAGAGACAAGGGGTTGCTCGGCATCAAGGAAGAAGCCCGTCCTCTTAGTTGCCTGTTAAATATTCACGAGAAACCCCGTTTCCGCGTGCGTTACCGAGCCAATGAGCTTGCGGGACCACCGAGGCCCGGAGACTCACCCCTTCCGCACCGCGCGTTACGAGCCCCTGAGGAACCGGCCGGGTTTTCCTTCTTCAACCACCGCGGACAAAAGGCTCGTTAAGATTTCTGCTCCTACGGGAATTAGTACGCGACCGATTAAACGTCCCACTCAGTTTCATTAAAGTCCGTTCGCTTGTTTACGCGTCCACCGATACGAATTCGACGCCGCATTCAGGATTCAGGTGGCGAACGCATGAATGGACCGTTCGTGTGATTTCCCGCGTGTTTCGACCTATGAACTCGCGAATTCTTTTGTCGCCAGTTCATTGGAAATACGGTGCTGTGTTAACACTAAAACTACCGAACAGTTAAATTGACTTTTTGAAATTCCTCTATAGAAACTCCAACAGTCCGTCTACTGAGACTAATTGATTTACAATCCAATTTTTGTATTGGTAAATTAATGTTTTTAACAATTCTCTGGATAATCTATTATCTTTTTGATAATAGCAAAAAGAAGAAATCAGGAATGAGTAATTTTGAGCCGCCTGGTAGTTTTAGTGTTAACTGTAGAATATTTTATTTTCTTCGCTTTTTTAAGAAGAATTGTTAAATGGTAAAAACGTGTTATTACGTTTATTTGCAATCACATTCTTTGGTTATACAAGTTGATTTTTCTAAACATCTTGTGGATTAAAAGGGTTAACCTAAGAAACTAATAATTTATTAGTCATTCAACTATTCTCAACGCAGTCATTCATACAGACAGGTCAAACACTTTTATAACGAGCAAACTTACTCGAACTGGGTTCGTTTCCTCTTCGATCTGTTCCTGTCGGTCTGAATTATATTTTATTCCACAGAACGCTACTTTGTTTACTTTATTTGCTAAAGTTTACTTTGAGTTCAACGAAACGAACGTTAAAACTGTCACACAATATTTATTCCTTTTTTTTCCATATTCCAATGTTGAATGTTTGTACAACTATTGACAGTCCATTTAATCTTTGCGACTCTGTATTGATATTTAATTTTATTTCAACAGCTACACGTTTTTATGAATATTGTACATGAATTACTACATCAAAATATTGGCGCTGGTATTAAAAGAATGCAGCAAGAATTGCTTTAGACACCAATTAATCCTTTACAGTCCAAAATATTCTAATAATAAGTTGCTTGCTTTAAACTTACACTGATGCTGCTAAATTCATTTGTAGCTTAGTACGTCACTTTAATCATTTATTTAAATGCATTTGAAAAGCTTTAAGATTGTACTTATACATGCTATAATGACGTTATTATGAACAAACGGCGGATCTTTATGCATTTATGGGAAAGTGCAAAATTGCATAGAATACATTAAGTACGAACGAGTAAATGAAACATCTAAAGCATAGAGCATTTTACAACAGTTGTTAGAAAAAACTATTTTGTATCGTAATTCTATTTTTATAATCAGACTCTTAAAATTATGAATTTGCATAAGATGCGCAGTCTAATTATGAATAATTATGTACAATAGACATTGGTAAAGCACGTAACTACTGAAATCACATTGGATGTTCATTCAACCTATTTTGAATTAGAATCTCGAATAGTTAATTGTCCTCGTATCTCCGGTGGAATACTGGATTATTTTAACACCAGTTAAAGTCTCGATTGGGCCGATCCCCGTTCGAAAATCGGCTAGTCCCACCGGTTTCCATTTGTAATCCGAGTTCAACGCCATGAGACGATCGTCGTAATTCATCGGTACTTCGTAGAGATTCCCTTCGAATACGGGACTGCCATCATGCGGGAGATCCAGCGAACTTGGGAAAAAGTCCGGGATATGGCCGCCATAATCGTTGTAGTCAACGTAATCGCCATTTCTTTTATGCAGGGTGCTCCATGGCCCGTAGAAGCGATGCATCACGGAACCGTAGTACGGTTTAAGACGCTCTGGAACGATCAAGATGAATTTCCCGGTAAATTCGACCTTTTCTGACGAGACTCGACCTTTCCTGGCCTTTCTCAGCGAAAGTTCAACTTTTTAAACTGTCGGGGATATTCCTTAATTTGATTTTATTCTGACTACCCTGAATTTCGTACGTTTACGGTATAAGCAGAACACAGGTGAAAGTTCGATGAAGTTTAATCAGCTCTTTATTCTATTCGTAACTCAAGAAAATTGGCAGTAGGGTATACAGACTGTTGTTCAATATCAATTCGATATATGATATTATTTTATACAAATGCATATTTACATAAAAGTAACAATATATTTGATGTAGGTATAAATACAATCGTATAAAGTTACATTATCTATGAAATAAAAATAGTTTTAAGTAAAATAATAACGTTACAATTTTTATCACATTCGCCTTCTACAGAAGTGCAAAGTTTCGACTTCGATAACATTAAAATTAGGCTAAAATGAACATGCTACACTAGATCTTACATTAGAGCTAACATTAATTCGTCCGAATTATTAATCGTTACTAAATCTTCGCATTAAATTTAAAGATTTGAATATGGACTTGCCCGTTGCGCCATCCTCCGGCAGCGCAGACTGCGCGCAGTACAGCCAGAAGCAAGATAAAAAGACCGCGATCGAATTCCTCATCTCTCGAACCACTGTTTTAAAACTGATAGAGTACACTATCGTCCAGTTTATCGCGCTGTCGCTTATATACTCGCTGTCAGTATCCCGAAAATCCGTGAACACTTGCCGGTTGTTTAGCGGTCGGCGATCTCCGCTTCGGTTGGCAGAGGTCGCGTGTGACTAATTTTTTAACGTATCTCGCAGACAACGTAGTACTTACGCGTAAATTTCCAGAGGCCACGCTCCACGAGCCGTGAAACTTGCTGACGTTTTCGAAACAGAGGTCACGCATTATATAGGATCGCGCGCAGTATCCATTAACGCGATTGACTATCGATTCGATTAATTTCGTAGAGTGACAAGCGAAAGTATAAAGATCGCTGGACGCGATGTCAAAGAATTAATTCCCGACCGAACTAAATTTCGTGACAATGAATGCCGTTAATTGATGGAAGTTAATGACTATAAATACAAATTGATGACGCGCCGCTTGTGTGCTAGGTAACTAGTGTACGCTAAAAGCTGAAAGAATGGTGAGCTTTATCGGTGAATTTCATTGGTTGCCTGTTCAACGACCCCACCCGGCTCTGCGAGAAGAAAAAATTTAATGTTAATAGTGTTCTCGGCTTATTGGAACAAGAAAGTATGATAGAAATTATTTTTAATAATTAATCAATATTCTACTATAACGAACAGTTGAGAAATTCGTGTTATTACATTGTTAACGAGTTTCTTTAATACAATATATGTTACGCGAACTATGCATCTGGGAGGAGAATTTCATTCAGTGACACTGCTAAACCGACACGCATAATAAAACACTATACACAACGAAACTTTTTAACCAAGAAGATTTTTGAATAACGCAGGATCGATTTAATGGAAAACAATTTTATCAGAATTTTATCGTTCCACTATTGTAATTATTATTGCTCCTGGATTCCATTGACTTTCAACGTTAATGGTTCGAAAGAACGGTCCGCCCCGTGCCGTTTCCAAAGTTTCCATGCAGTTATTGGCACGGCAGCGACGATTATTCTTATTTATTATACTCTTACCCAACACTGGCGTAGGACAAGGTGGATGTCCGTTGTTTCAGCAGCGAATTAGAGTAGGCATTATCCCCGGCGTCGTCCATTTCGTAATAAGGTCTGCCGAACCAGAACGCGTTACTGTAACGATAGGCATCCGCGGGCGCGAGTACGTCCAAATCGTCTGCATAACAAAATTCACAATTGAAAAATACCACACGCACACATTCGAACCGATTATCGTTTCAGCGATCATTGTAACGCGAATTTGTGTTATAAACATAGGTTTTTATCGAATGAGGAAGTGGAATGAAACTGCAATTCATTTCCTATAATAATGATAAAGTTTCATTGCAAATAAATAAACAGTTCATTCAATTTTCTTCAATTTCCTAATAAAGCTTTACAGGGGGTTCCCTTCAATTTCAAACTTTTTATTTAGTAATTATCGAAATAAAAAAAGTAAAGAAAATGTTTTTATAGGCGATAGTAAGAAAAATCGTATAAAATATTAGAAAACGAGATCTTTTTATCTCCTAAAAAATAACATTTTCAAGAAATCTTAAAATTCATTTTTATATCAAATTTTGTAGAAGTTACTTTCACTATTTGGCAGGTATAATATTTGAAAAATGTAAATCACGCTATGAATTCATGGAATCCGCAATCTAGCGACTATTGTTTGGAATCAGAACTCACTGTTTTGCCACTGAGGAATTGGTTTGGCACCGACGAGAACCAACGCGAACAGAACGGCGTAAGTAACGGCGATACTTTTGTGCATGTTTAAAGATTTTCGAGCTGACGTCGGATGGAATCACGGGATTCAGTTTTCGTCTGGATCAATGCGATCTGGCTGCCGGACTTATATAGTACGGTAAGCGATGTCCACTGTGACTGGTCGATTTTCTTGGCCGAGACACGTCAACAAAGTACCTGTTATCTCGCGTTTAAAAACGCGGGCATGACGAACTACGCTAATGAGGAAGACAATCTCCGGGAAGCTGTTGACTCCGCGCTTCTCCCGCATTTACATAGAAAAACCTCGACTGCGTCAATCATCCGGAGCGCTTGAAACACTTTATTCTTTTAACGCTTTGACTAACGTGTCACTAATATAGTTCTCACAGTTTCTTTTCTTTGAGTATCGATTACAAACGTTAAACGATGGAGAATTGTAAATTAAGTAGAATAGAATAATATAAAAGATAATACTTGACCCGAAAATCTTTATTGGCTCGATGCCGATGTCTCATTGAGAAAAATTATAGTTTCGTAGAAATTAGAGGTTCAATTAAAGAATTATTTTGGGAATAAGTTTTATAAGTATCGTTATATGAAAATTGGAAATTAAATTTATTGGTGCACCGTGAGTAATTAGTAAAGGATGAAGTATATTTTGCATATTTCTGTTTATGACAGTTATTGAAACGAATAATAATCATTGTTGCTGTGGATTGTATATTACGTCGAACAGGTACATTTGCTGCTCAGATCGTTTTAAATATTATTACAAGCGGTCAGTTACAAACGTGCTGTAACTGTATTTGTTACTTCGGCACAGCGGCGTTTAATCTACTGAACAAATGTGTTCGGGCAAACAATTTTCTCCAGTTTGTTTAATATTATTGATATTTCACAGAGTCCATGCTTTATTTGCAGTTTATTAGCGGGAGTTACAGAGGCAACGCCATTAGGTTTTATAAACGCGATTGTTTATATGGGGATTGTTAATGCGAGACGAAACGTAGTAGGCACATCGCGACTTCCGATTTCAATCATGAATATTCAGAGTTTTGATTGAATTTGGTTTTCCCGTCGCGGCGCGGGAACAGACTTTGACGAAAAAACGTTTCGACGGGGAAATTAGAAATGCTGATGAAAGGTCGTCCATTATTCGTTGAATATACACGAGAATTTATAATACAAAAGCGAAACATCATTCCGGCTTTTGTTTGAATAAACGCAAGCGAGAAAATATTTCCTAAAACTTTGAAATATATAAAAAATGTCGACCATTTTCGTTTGCAGGAAAGCTACTGTTACATTTTCAAATTACTCTGCTAGTCCATCGTAGAAAGGAGTCCTAGAATTGTAGAAATATGTTGTACAAGCGAATAAATAAAACTGAAATAAATTTTCAATTCGAATCAATGATTCAATAAAACTTCACTGGAGACTTATCATCTGTTCACAATAGACATAATCTATTCACAAAAATTACTTCGGCGTCCTAATAAACATCAGAATAGCGTGCATGCTCCAACGATTTGAATTATCAGATACGAAATACAGATTTTACTGTTCTGTAACACGATCATCGCATAAACAGGCTGCGAAATTACACGCACGGTCGCTTGCCCGTGTTACGTTTCCATTATTCAACTGAGCTGGTTACAAACAAGCGAGAATAATTAAAAAAAAATGTGCAGTAAATTCGGAATTATCCTTGCCGCGGACAATTACGATTCATTTCGAGGCGCGGCGGTGTTTCGCGGCGAGTGAGTCATCGTTCGAAGCGTTAATAAACTAGACGCGGACGTTTGTTTCTGAAACCGGCGGCTCCCGACGGAGAAAACCTGGTGAAACAACAAAGCCTACACAAAACGCGCTTCGCTCTTTCCAGCGGAAGCGCGCCGGCAGATCTTAACTATTCAATGAACGTTTGTCCATTCACGACGCTCCCGGCACGTGACGTCGCGTTTTCCGCTCGGCCGGGACACGCTCGAACAATCGCGCGCCTCGCGTGAAAAGCGCGTCTCATCGGTTTTCGAACAGAATCAGCGACCAACAGGCCCCGTCCGAGATTTAATGGGCCCTTGAACCACACTGAAAGCTAGAATATTAGCCGCCGTTTCATTCAGATAACGCGCAAAGCGTTTGAACAACGAAGAAAATTTTACTGAATTGAAATTTTATCCTAAATAAGAAATCAATAATCAATAGGGAAAGGATTTGTTTGAATAATTATTTGTTCTGTCATTTGAGGAATTTATATTGACTGCGATGTGTACAATGCTCGCTTAAAACTATTTGCGTTGCAATTTGAATAAGTTTTTCGCATAGATTACTCGAATAAATAAGCATGAATTATTTAAATAAATAAAGACGAATGAGTCTAAATATTCGAGTAAACAAGAAGGAATTATTTAAATAAATGACGGTCATTTATTCTAATTATTCGAATAAATAAGGATGAATTATTTAAATGGTTAGAATAAATAGAGATAAATTGTTCGAATTGCTCGTGTAAATTATTCGAATGCGTAAAGGTGGATTGCTTGAATTGGATACACAGGCAAATCAAACTGAATTATTTGAATAAATTGTTCGTCTATATAAAGTTGAACTATTCGAAACAGTAGATGAAATGATCTGTTGAGAGCGAAGAATTCAACTAACGAGATTTCGTTCGGTTAATTATTTTAAACAAACATTTATTCGAAACAGTTCGAGTAGCGCCGAGCTCCAGCCCCAGTTAATCTGATAATGTTAATCGATTTATGAAGCGTCTACACTGCGCGGTTTGCACTGAGATGTTTGTCAAAGTGCTTGATTGATAGCGTTATCAAGTCGATAGCAACTTGATTTTGTTCATATACTTTGATGATGGCGCTATTCCCTGTGTCTTTTCGCTGGATTAGGAAGGGGAACTCCGTCGAGTTAAAAAAATGAAAGCTTCTAGAAAATAATTTGGTTGGCGTCGAAAAATGATTTCCTAACAAAATATCATTGAAATATTTACCATCTGCTGAAAAGATTTGATGCAATGAATAAATAAAAATATTATATCGTTATTTTTACGATAGGAAGGTTAAATATATGACCCTTACAGACTTATTTGTCTTCTGTTTTAAATTATTACATAATGTTCTAGACTAACGTTTACTTCTGTTATTAGTGAATTGTTTACCAAGGATTGTTCGTAATTGAAGAGAGTACAAATTTCGCAAATGATACCCACAGTTTACTCGCAAGGTATTGATTCGAAATACAGCGTTGCATCTATTATTCGAAACAACAATGGCGTCTCACCAATCGGATATGGAAGTTTCAACTGGATCCCCTTGTTCTTCTCGCGGAACTACGTCTCGATAGTTTAAAGTACCGGGACCGCGAACCCTGGAGAGCCGTACTGGAATTCTAATCGGATGTGCGACTTAACAACAACAACCGTGGCGGACTTCATGAGACGAGTGCCTCGCAAGTTTCTATGGGGTTATTGACATAAGGTTCCGTTGCGTGTTTAGTTGACGAGTAAGTTTACTTCCCTGTTTAGAAATTAACATCCTCGTCGCTCGATGAAAAACGATAAAACGGAAGTCTTGGTCAAGTTGATTCAAACGTAATCGACGGAAATTTTAAAAATAAAAAATTATAGGAGGTGTAAAAAGATGAAGATACAAATCATTTTCCAAGTGTAAGAAAATTATTACGTATATTCTCCAAGAATTAAAATCCACGATTAATTTATCTGTTGTGGAAAATGGCAGTTCGTTGTCGCTGATAATTTAATATTTCCAAGTGTCAAGAAGATTAATCGTGTGTTCTTTTTACCAGCGTAATTAGAAATTCCTCATCAACAACGCTATTAACCACGCCAACGCTAGGATTCGTTAACGCCAACAGCGAGTACAGGTACCGGCCGGGTAATTTGCAAAACTAATTGCCGGTTCTCGTTATCAGGAAGGCACGCCAAGTGTCGTGCTCGGTTATCGGTTGGACGAGCAGAGATGATAATACAGTGCGTGCGTCTAGGTATAAACGACACTAATTCGGAACCGTTAATGACAGCAACACTAATTTTAACCATGTCGCTGGGAAATACGTTTAGATAAAACCCGGCCTGAAATGAACTCCAAGGTTTAACACGTTTAAAAAATTAATCTAAGATAATCTAAAATATAATACACATATTTCCACGAATGTCCATTCGTCGACATAAATTACTACCACGAAACAACAGTATCTTCAATAACCTTTCAGGAATTAACAATTACTAACTATTACTTCATAAATTACTTAGATTAAACATCCAAAAAACCTATTTTTTCATTCGTTCACCTCATTAATACGATTTCCTACAGTTCCACGATTCACAATCATTCCTTACATTCCCAAAGCTCGCAATACTACCATTTACCGAAACAATCCGCTATGTCAATCCCGAAGTCCAGCGTACGGGCTTGTCCATTACACACAAAGTGGAACGCAATTGTCTGCATTGTGAAATGGAACACGGTTCGCGGCATCCATAATGTCAACAATAAACCGTGGATCGATACGCTGAAACGTACTCTCCGAAGGTCTCTGGCTCGCTGCTGCCCCGCCATACTTAGCCCGCTGCTAGCCTCCGCGTGGGGCGCTAGAAATTCCATCGGCCGATCGACCGATTCATCTTCGAGAGACCGTTATCAAAGAACACCGATCGACGAGAGGTATTACTAGCCCTGGTACGGGAGAAGAGGACGGGGTTTAGGAGGACACGGCGCGAAAGGGGTTGCGTCCCACGATAAATCTCCCACCCCCGGGCGTCGTTCGCGTGTCCGGGAGCCATTGATTCCAGTGCTGATCCTTGGCGAATACCCGACCATTGTCGGCCCTTCTGGTAATTCCACGCGCACGGGGGTCCCAGCAGCCCTTTCAATCTGTTTTCCAGCGTCGCCAATCTCTTTCCGTTCGTTCGCGCAACCCGCGCGTGTCCTTTTTCAACTTTCTGCAGCGTTTCCGGGAGCCGAGGATGTCCCTGAGTGGTTCAGCTCGTAATACTCTTTCCTCCGAACCTCTTCAGCTCTTATATCGGCCAAGTGGATTTCTTTGGCGGAATCGGACCCGTCGCACTCCGCCCGGCCGGAACGTAATGAGGAAGTACCGGATGTTGGAGATTGGAGTCCCCCGCGGGATCTTTTGATCGGAGGATCGACGTCCGCAGGACGTGACCGTGCGCAAACATCCACTGTGATTGGCTCCGGGAATGGTCTCTGAATTCTTTCGATACTGTGGATTCGGGGATGTTTGGCTCTGGCTTGGCTGGGAGAATTGAACGAAGATTGCTGTGTGGTTCGATTGTGATGTGAATTTTTGAACGCTTGTGATTTATTTTGTGACCGAGCGCGCGGATGTTATCAAACTGTTTCGATAACTACCGAAAGTGCACAAAATTGTACATTTTAAAATGAGAGTTCGTAATGTTAGATCGAACTTAGGGACATTTAAAGTTAATAAATTTGGTTTATTTTGCTAAATGTCTGAAATAATATTAGAAAGATCTTGCTAAGTGTCTGAAATAATATTATAAGGGATGAAGTTAATAGGAGTTGATTAAATTAGAGCTACCCAAAGGTGCGCAAAGTTTGATTCCAATTTACTCTATCAAACGAAGCAAAGTGCTTTTTTCGCTCAGCGACTTCCTCGTTTCCATCGTCATTACCCCGCTGGCCTCTCCACGAGTCGAGAAGAATCTGTTTGTTCCCCACCGGCGTAATTACCCCGAAGGACGACTCGCGTCGTCCAGGCTCGCGTTTCCAGCTCGATTTACCGAAACGCTTCGAGCGTGTACACCCGTTCCCGGTACGCGCAGTTAGTCAGAAGCTAACGCACCTTCATTAACGCCGGACATGTTTGCTTAGCCGGCGCGGTGCACGCGACACGTGTACATAAACAGAACGCAATCTCCTAACTAAAACGTCATATTTGTCCGCGACCGTGCGAAGGCCTCTAACCGGCCGCTCAGCCACGCAGCCCCCTAATAATCGCCGACTATTTTCGTCCGTATTATTTTTAAAAAAGAACATTTCGTACGTCTAAACGCGTGAACATGCGAATTTCGTGTTTCGGCTGGCGCGGTGACTCACGGAACGTCTGTCCCGATAGCGTCGCATTGCGCGAATGCGGGTACCGAGGCGGTGCGTCACGGTCTGGTCTAAGAATTCCAGGCGAAACCGGTTTCCCGTCACGGGAAATAACTCATCCTGGAATCGAACACGAGTTTTTCGTGTCTACCGGGATCCCTCGTTCCAGGGAACAATTTGTTCTCGCGCGACGACCGTTCTTTCTCCCCAGGGTAGGTGTGTTCTTCTCTCATCCTTGATGGTAAATAAATTCCGCCGAGGCCGCGATCGGTTTCGTCGCGGTTCACTTTTCCGTGCGATTTGCTCATGATTCGATTTAAAACCGGCCACGTCCTTAACTACCTTTTATACACCGACATAATCGAGATTATTAATAGACCGATCGATCGCGCGCACACCATGGACACGGGAACACCGCGTGGAGGCTGACGCGGAGCCGCGTGAATTCTTGTCGATCTTTAAACTGAAGTTTACAGGGATTTTTAATAAACGAATGTCCGTTGAAAACACGGCTTTCTAAAGTAGAAGGTTTGCTTCCGAGGTAACTTCCGAGGAATACAATGCCAAGGCTACCGAAACATATTATTAAAGTGCCTTTATGAAAACAGAACTTCATAAAAAATTTACATTAATACATTGCTAATGAAACTGACAACCGAACGTTTTTCATTACCTGGTAAAAAGTCTTCAGTTCCTTTATTTCACACGACACAGAGACCCAATCGTCAAAGCAGAATTCTATTGCCTGCTGGACACCATTGATAAATAAGTCAACAGCAATTGGAGTTATGCTCACTAGACTCTAACATCGAATGCAACGGCTCTCAAACTGTCAAAAAAGAGTACACCATAGCCGTTAAAAAGCGATCAACCTAGAATCACCAAACACATGTCTTAACACTTATCTACAATTTCCCAAAAAATCACCGCAAGCATCCGGCAGACACCTCGCAAGTGTAGTGTATCATAATTGCAGCCTTGATGGGATCGCGCAACCCTCACCTCGCCAGGCGATTCGTGCGGAAGAACGCGCGTATAAAACTGATCTCTGAATCGATCGTCGCGCGGTGAGATCCTCGTGACCTTCCCGCACGGGCTAAAAATCCCGCAGCCTATTTGCGTCGGTCCTTATACGTTGTGTGCATCGATCTCTATTCTTGGAGGCGCGCGCTAGGCGAACACAGGCCTCGCGCACACACGAGTCCGATCAACCGCCGGTCGACTGGTCACAAAGCGTGTTCTCTTTCCGTTGCGAAGGAGAGATAGTTCACCGGCGTGTGGCGGGCCGGTGTTGGTGCGAGGCGACGGAAGCCCAGCAAGGTGTGGTGTGCGGCCACGGCACGTTCCCGCGCGATGTAAACAGGCCAGCCAGGTCGAGCTCCAGTGCACCCGATACCGTTGACGAAGACGGGCCGGCGCGCGCGGGTTTCCATGACTCGCGACCGTCCACGGTTTTTCCCTTGTCACGCGCGAAACTTTGCTTCGCTCGTTCCCGTTTATCGAACCCGATACCCGTAGATCCGAGAACACTAGACACGAGCTGAATCACGGGAAGCTCCGTGTCGATCCCTCGTTACTGTGCACTCACTTGGGTCCGAGCAGCTTGTAACGAGACCCGGCCCCGTTTTCTACAGTCGCTCTTCGGAATATATGCTGAATACTGGAGTACTCTGGATTCTTGAGAGTATTGGGTTGGTGCATGGTATATGTCCCTGTGGTTGAGTTGGAATGAAGATAGGAATATGTGATCGGGTTCATAGATGTTTCGCTGTGGGGTTTATTTTGAAGATTTGGATTGTTGTGTTTGGAGAGTCTCTTGAATGTCTAATGAGATTTTATTGTTAGCTTGAATGTTTGGAAGATGTGAGAATAAAGGTTCTTTGATGCCTGTTTAGCTTTGTTACAGTGCTTAATTTGGTTCAGTTATTTACTACATTGGTTCCTTAAATGAATGACCTCCAACTTGAAAGAATATCTATGAATATTACTGTTGAAACGATCCCACGAGAAGCAGCTGAAACCAGCAATTTCAAGGGTACAAGAACTTGGAAAAAGGAACATGTACCTTCCCAATGAATTCCACCAGCACCAGCCTAATAGTTCCCAGAAGCGTAACGCGTGGATCGTAGAGCCGGTTGGTAAATAACGAGGGAGCATTGTGGGACAAGGTGGTCGCGGGCCGACAACCAGTGGTTTTCTGTCATTTCGCCGGTCGTAATCGTCTGAAAGGCGTGGCGCCGCGCAGTCCGCGACACTTTTAAATAATCGCGCGGCGGACAATCGATCAGAGATACGTAATAACGTCAGCGATCAGCCGAGCGCGATTACAATTCCAGACGGCACCGGGTATCAGTTGCGTCGCCGGAACACATTGGATTAGTCGATACGCCGTAGATCGATGGAAGCCTCGCAGCTGACTGTCCGTGTGCAGCGTCGTGCGACACGGTTCAAGTGCATCGTCGAAGGAAAACAAACAGCCGGTTCCGTATTTTCACGTGGATCAACGTTCACCGGGATACCCCGAGAACATTGTTAACCCGGTACTCTAAGCTGAACACACCTATAAAGAGACGGTAGCGAAAGTGAAGCAAGAGTCCGGCAGGTTGATCGATCATCGCCAAAGACAGACACCTGTGGGCACGGGGCAATTAAAGAAACGTCGGGACGCTCGCATAAATACTGGTCGCGCCCACCTAGCAGGGTGTGTCTTTCACGCGCGCCGGCCAGTCATTAGCTACCACTCGAGCAGAGTCCGTGCCGCAGCCCGGGGTGAGAGACATCGATTGACTCCGCGAATTGATCCCCAGCCGATCGCGAGCGTCTCCGGTCGACAGGAGTTCTGTTCCGTCCTAGTTGCGCTTCTGTGATCCTCGGTGATTACTATTGTGATGTACCTCCGCGGACCAGTGGTTCTCATCGATCCCCAGAGACAATAGTCGCGGATTGCAGACACTGTTTAGCAGGATCTAAAAGTTTCAAATGAGGCCGACTTTAAATAATATATACTGATACCGTTCTGTGATTAAAAGCTCATATGGACACGTGACTCTTCTATCTCGGCGAAAGCCGAGACAACCTCGACTTGGTCCCGCGAACTCTTTAGTGTCTGTGTCAAGCGGTACGCAGGATAAAAGGGACGGGATCGATCAGCCGTAACCTTCGACGAAAGTCTTCATCCTCCATCCTTGAGCTAGATAGACCCGGCTAATTCGGAACGGGCTGGCTGTGGGACAGCGTCGGACTAGAGCAATAAAATCGCTCCATGGAAATCCGTGGCGGGTCGGACACGGTCGCCTTGTGAATATTCAGCGGGGGAATTCGCGAAGCGGTCGCTGATTGGACAAAGCACGACTTCCGTATTGAATGTGGCGCGCGATCGCGAAACGATGAGGCATGGCTTAACGCGGAACCGTTCGTCGGGGATTTAATATTCCGCGCGGTACCGCGCGGCGTCCGATCACGCGACCGTTCTCGCCTAGAACCGCTCGTCCCGGCGAGGATAGCCCCAAGGACAACGGATTTTCACTCGGGATCTCGCGCGAGGACTCGATGCAAATTTAACTCGGCTCGTGTCTCTCCTGTTGCTTCGACCAGACAGACTCGCACCTCCGACATGAGCCTGCTGCGGTTCGGACCCTTCAAGGACGGTACGTTTGTCCCTTGAGTATAACACCATTCTTCATTGTTCACCGCTTTGCCATCATCTTTTCTCGAAAAGGAATGTCCCGAGTCATGGAATCGTTGAGATACTACGCGCGGGAAATCCTTGTCCGGTGATTTCGATTGTCTTTTGTCATCTACACCTTCATTTAGTTTAGGTTACTACTTAAAGTACGTGATGTTCTTAGAAAATTGAATGTAGGCGCTATAAATACAGTATTCGTTAATGCTAGAATCGTTAAAGCAATTAAAATGCAACACGAAGATTCAATATGTAAATAATTTTGTAATTGGTGGAAATTAAACTTGGATGTTGACAGTTGCTTGTACTAAGTAGCGAAGAAAAAAATCTCAATGAATACAGTCAAACATTCATTCAAGCTCAAACTTCTTATTTGCGTGCTTCCTAATGTTGTTATTCTCAATATCAGTATAGTCAAATGAATACTGATTTCGGTCGAGGCAATGTGCTGTGAAAGAATCCAAGAAATGCACTCGTTCAGCCTACATTTACATTCCACTGATTGTTAGTTCAACGAGCTTTTCAAGTACTGGTGGTGTTCAAATCGAATTTCGGGACGGAGCACACTCGAACGAACAAGTTTTGCATGCCAGACAATATGTATTCGGTTTTGTGAAGTTTTCGGACGGGCGAGACGATCCTGGAGCGACTTTATTTGACGACGGAACACACGTTTCCCTTGTATCGATTCGACAGCGACCTACGTCAAGCATTTTAGGTCATCGATTGGACCGTAGGGAAGCGGAGTATTGCTTTCCGTAACCTTCAAAAATCCATGGAAAGGGTCGCGGCTGGCGCCCCCGAGATATCCTGTTATGGAACTTTTCTTCCGAGCAGCTTGCGATCAGTATTCGCGCGGCGAACTGCCCACGAGTTCGCAACGCGAGAAAAAACGAGAGCAACGGAACCGCGAGCAGTCTTAATAGTCCATAAAACTTTTCGATACAACTTCCATCGAAGTTGTCGAAACGAAACTTTTCATTCTGACGTCTTATTCGACTGTGTCTGCCTTCCTCTACTTCCAGAATGGTCCAAGGATTATCGTACCTACGGATAGAGCGTATCTCTATATTCCGAGCTGCCGTGATCGAGAATTAATGTTATTTTATTCGGAAGTTTCCCGTCCAATTTATTTCCATGAGACCGTATTTGTCTCTGTGCCAATTTTCGAATAACATTGGAATTCATTTCTACCGAACTTACAAATTGTAATTTATATTTCGACACGGTTTGCGGTATGTAATAGCATTTGTTATTTGCGAAACCTAATTCCTCTCGTCCTAAAGACCTCTACCCGCTATACCAGTTTGCAAAACACAACTACCATTATCGTACGTTCAGATATTACCACTAAAAAGTTACCAAACTCGCAGCCGCCCGCGATCACCAGATTTAATCGCTGCAAACTCGCGCGACCCAAAATATCCGAGCGGAAGCGGTTCGCCAGTGTCCCGAGCATTTTAAAGGATTACATCGAATCCCTATTATGGTGAGAACCAGCGGGTCACGGTTCCTCGTTGTCCTGGGGCTTGAAGTTCGCGGACAAAAGCAAACTTCCACGAATGGGAATGGGTAATACTGCGGCTTTATATTTACCTCGGCGTGGAAGAAGAGGCACTTTAAAGGACAAACATTGCAGGCGCTCTCTCGCGGCGTTCTGGCGTCGCGACGCCAAGAAGTGTCGCCTCCATCTGTCTGTCACGTAGATTCCATATCGTAAAATCAGGGGAAAACAGATTCAAAATTGAAAGCAAAAGAATAGTAAAAATATATAAAACACTTCAATATATGACTAAAATGAAACTATATCATGTAAGAAGTAAAATGGAAACAAATTAAAAATATTAATCCTTTGCATTGGAAAGTCCTCCTTCAAGCAACATTTCGAGAGAAATATTGAAATCTCTGAGTGCAAAAGATTAAAATATCGAAAGTAAAATATATAGAACATACCAGTGAGTTAGGAATTTTCTACATTTAAATTCCCTCATATTCCAAAAACTATTAATCTCGTGGATTCGAGTTTGGTGACGTTCGATTTACAATATACGAATGCATGAAATAAACAGTATTGGAACCAATAAAAAAAATATTTTTAGATCTTTTGCCTTTTGATCCGACAATCTGGAGCACTGTACGTCGGCTCGTTTCCAACGGTAGTTTTTCTTTTTACTCGGCGCAGGGTGCGCTCATCGACAGGCGAGAAGCACTTCCGTTGTGAATGCCAGTCCGCCCGGGTTCGACTGAAAAGGAAAACGAGAGTGACTGGCTGGATGAGACTACGATCCTCCATGGAGCGTCACCGACGCTCGGTTACGTAACAATGAGGCGTCGCGGCGTCGTCGGTGCCCACCGACAACCATCTAACTTTGCGTTGGTCTGAAGTAGACTTTCGAGGTGGAAGCTACAACAACCGGCGTGTTTTCAATGAGTTTTTAGGGATTGCGTGTAACATAGACAGATATTGTTAACGTTACAGTATTTGCGACCCATAAATTCAAGATTTTGTACGTTCGTTACACTCGCGAATGGATCAAACGTAATAAACTAAAGGATTTCATTGATATTTTGAAATTCCTTTTTTCATATATTGCCGTTGGTGATGAAAATTCACGATAAAAGGATGGTACTTGTTCGTTCTCTGTTCACTTGCGAGTTACGAACATTTGGGACGCGATTTCATGCACATTTCAATGAAATTTTATATTGAAAATATTACTATAGGAACTTATCATTTTACTTTTATTCAGACACTCCAAGTCAGATCATAAGGTGAAGTTTTTATAAAGATCCATAGTTTACTGATAAATATCAATTGTAACATACTTTGGACCGAAACACGCGTGATACTGTGAACATTCCCAAGTTTCCAATAGTTCGCCGAAACGGTCGACATCCAGACGACTGTCCATTCATCCGGAACGCATTTAATCCAATCGTCTGCGAATAGCTTTCCGATTTCAGGATAATCGAACGACAGTCGGTTCGATTGGGAAGAGAATATTGATGTTCGAAGATATTTGCGTCCCCCGATACCATCTTCGTCTTTCGTTTCTGGTGACTGAACGCGGCTTCCGAGGTGTTCCGGATTCGTTTTCATTATGCTCCCATTCGTAAATCGAATGGCAACGCATGGATTCACCCGGTCACGTTCACTTTTCGGATTCCTCGACTTTCGTTCTTCCCGTTATCGCGGAAGTTTCCTTTTGCCACCGACGGAGCCGTGTGTCACCCGCATCGAACGGACGCGATATCGAGGGATAAAGTTGTAAAAAACGCTAAGGTGGCAGAGGGCAGAGAATCGGGGCGCGTTCATATTGGATTCTGATGGAAAAGTTGGAGGCTTTTACGGGACGAGCAAAAGTCGACGGCGTTCGGCTTCCCTCTCGTGGAAATTTCTTTATTGAATTTCACTTTTGTCGGTGGAGGGGAAATGATGACCCTGATTCGGCTCGTTGGAATCGGTTCAAAATTTATCCGGGTTTAGAAATTGTGTCACACAGAATTATTAGGTCCGAGCAGAACGCTCCTGTTTTTATAAAGCAAACGGAGAAAATGAGTTGGTAATTGAGTTTCGTTTTATAAATTCCACCTTCTAATATGAAATTTTTCGCATTGCATGCTTGTTGTGCGTTCATTGGCACCATTATCGTTGACTGCATCGATGATGTAAGAGACTTAGAACTCGTAGAAAAAATAACTTTCATTTGGTGGCTGGTTTCGTCATGCGAAATTCCTGCAAAAATTATAGTCGTCCGGATATTGAGGAGAAAGTAATGATATCTTGGGAAAATTGTGAATGGAGTTTAAGTTTGAAAGGAAACAATCGAAGTTTTTCGAATTTGGAATTATTCGAATGTTCCATCTATGAATCATGAGAAGAGTGAATAATTTTACATTGAGTACGTTTTATTTAACTAAAGCTTCGTCGTTTAATGACCAAGGTTAGTTACTAGTTCTTAATTAATTCGAGTATCAATTACTTGCAGTGACAGATATTGTTCTAATTGACTGTTAAAAATAAATTTCATCAGAAAAAATCCTGATCTCTTTAAGTTCAGTATGACACTAGATTTTGTCATATAAATTCCGGAAATTAGAGCTTCTAAAGCAGAGAATTAAAATACGTATTCCCATTGTTGAATTGATCAAAAGCAATTTAAACTTTTCCAAAACAATGTCCATAAAATTTAATATCCTTCAAGTCGATAAGTTCGGTAGATTCAGTGTTAGAACAATATCAACAAACAGTATCACAGAAAAGCCGCAACGTTTCTCGTGTCGAAGATCGATGTGTCGTGTCTGAAAGTGTGCCTTTAGCGACTGCGATCCGGCTCGCCAAGGGCGGAGTCATCTGTCATTGACACTGGCCGAGAGCGAGGTTGCATAATCAAATGTCCCCTATCTGGTTCAAGTGATCGTGATACCCTCCCTCTTCGTGAGAAAGTCATCATGCCCATCGATCGCGTCGTCCCGCAACGTCGTCGTCTTCTTTCTGAAGTATCTACAACGTTCCTGGAACATTTCAGGCTTTTAAGGGCTGCCGTGCTTCAAAATGCAAACGTTCGGATTAATGTTGCAGAGTTCACCGAACAATTCCACGGCAAATTACGGCGGGCATTAGTCCAATGCAATTTCCGAGGGGAGAGAATTCTATTTAATGGTCCGCCGCAGAATTCATTCCACAAACGAAGTTTTCCGGTCGGCCATTATGAACCCGTGGGTCCACAGAATAGCCGTTCTTTGGACTCGCCGGGTAGTATTTACCTTTTGTCGAGAACGAGACTAGTTCGGCGCGCGCTATAATATCGTCCAGAAAACTATTTCAATAACGGCCGGTAGTTCACCTTCGCCGAAAATGACGTCCGCGACCGCCTGTCCGTCGAACCTGGCCCTTATTATACCAAAATTCTAGCGTAATTTCGTGTCTTTTTTTACACTATTTTGGAAGTTCAGTAAAGCCTC